AAGTGCAATTAGCTCATCCATGCATAATGATTCATGGAACATACAAAAGCCAGCAAGAGACAATATGCAGACATTTAACCAAAATCATACTTCTATGTGACTCATTAATTCCTTTTCTTCTTTTTACCTTGGGTTTTTACACTACTCCCTTTTTCCTGGTTGTTGCTGTCGCTGTCATGAAATTAGGAGATAATATACATAAAGGTCGTAAATCACTAATCCTCAGTGTAACAATGATTTCTTTTATACCCATACAACCATTCGATTAAAATACTAGAATATTTCTACCACCCACCTTCCTAGGCTCTTTTCCAGAACCTATCCCCCGGGCACTATCTCCCTCCCTGTTTTGATTTTCTGTGTGGACTTTTATGGCTCATAAACTTCAATTTCCCTCACCCCCACCTATTTTGACTTGGTCGTACACCATCTTTTGGGTTAATTTTAGTTGCAGCTCCATGTAGTAACTAACTGCTATGACCTTCTAGCCGGGGAAGAAGAACAATTTGCTCTACATATTTTGCAAGCAAATTTTAAAACCATGACCCGACCCCCAAGGATATATGGCTAAATCTAATTATCATTTGCTTTTAAATATGTACCGAGAGTTAACCTTCTCAGTTTGGAAAATTCTTATAAACAGTTGTGCCAGACGTGGCTGATCTTCCCACTGAGAGCATGCCACCACAGACATGGCCTCAAATAAGTGAATTTCACATGCTCATGGATGAGTCTCGGTATTCTCTTCGGACAATTGTGGTGTGGAAACCTGAGTCTGCCTCTGTAATGTTTTCACTTGCCCCTTACATTTGTCATTTTGAGGACAACCATTTTCATGGTTACACTTGAGTTTGGGTCTGTCAAACTTTTGCAATATACTTACTTGTTCTTTGTACTGTTATGTGATAAAAGAAATTGCCAAACAAGCAAAAAATCCCAAACTCCCTATCATCTAATTGATTCCAATTCATAAGAATTGGACAGAGTAGACCTGCCCCGTGGGTTTCCTGAGACTGCAACTCCTAACGGGAGTAGGAAGCCCCCTCTTTCTCCCATGGAACAGCTAGGAGTAGTACAGTTAATGTGCTAAGGTGCTAACCAAAGGATGGAGATGCAAGACACCTCAGAAGAAAAATGATCTACTTGCAAAAAGCAAAAAACAGCCGCCAAAAACCTTACGGTACAAGTTTTATTTTGATATATACGGGTTTGCCATGAATTAGCAAGGACTCAAAGACAACTGATTGGTTATATGATAAACAGGCAGATACACTGAAATCTTCTGCCTACATTTAGAAAATGGCTAATTGACATTTCAGGAAACGAGGGTGAATTGGTTAACAGAATTTTCCAAAAACATACTTCCTTTTTGGGAAGTTGCTGAGATATATTACATCTTGGTTTTCATAATTGTATGCCTCGATGTATTCTTCAAACTGTCAGAAATAACAATTGAGCCTCCACAAATCGTCAATCTGACCATACTGTCATCACTGCTCAAAAGGCCACCAGAAAAGCAAGTTAAAATAAAGACATGGATTTTGAATGAAAGAATCAGAATGTATATGAAGTAGAAATCATTTCCACTACTTTAAACATATAAAAGTATTAGGTCTAGATATTAATGCACCTAAATGTAGATATTTAAAACGTAGTTTGTAAAATAATATGACAACTGTTAAATCTGTGTTACTTCAAAGAGTTAATTATACAATCAGTTTCAATGAGGTAATTACATATTCAATATCTGGAATTTATAGATAGCTGAATATACTTAGATGATCAACTGAATCACTTGCTCCCTCTGATATAAATTGAAATTAAATTCTACAGTTGAAAGGAAGGATATAAAGAAAACCCAAACTTTTAGCAAATTGGATGAAATTGACATTAGTATGGAATTAGCATTTGGTAATTTCTCCTGCCCTAGACTCTTATGCTTGATGTCTGTTATTTGTAATTTTTAAGACTGTATAGACGACTGAGTTCATAGCTACATATTCTGTTCTCATAGCTAAGTGACTAAGAAAAAACCCAGTTCATCATAAATCGTACATAAACATTTCTACTCCAGATAGAGTGCAATCCATGTTTGGAATGATTTTTTATTGTTAAATTGAGTCCTTAAACAAAATTACACCTCCAGAGAGCAAAGATTTAACAGTCCTCTAATTTTCCCAAAGAACCTTCCTTCTTAGCCTGGATTGTTATAGTTAGCATACCTTAAGTTTTTCATAATTATTTCTGAAGACATTGCCCGTTTTCACCTTTGTGCTCATTTAACTTTTTTGTTGGAGGATTTGAGATGCCCTAGGTTAGTTTCTCATGGATTCTGTACCTGTATTAGTAACATATAGATGCAGACAGCAGCACCTATCAAGATTAACAAACTCATGTTACCGATGTTACTGATTAATCCAACAGGTTTTTATCTAATGCAAAAAACGAAGTACCAGGAGGTATCAGCCCTGACTTCAGATAAGCGTGACCTTTGACTTTTTCTTAATATTACTCTGTCTGTACTTCTGACCACCAATATTAGAATATCTGCAGGTGAGCGCCATATATACATGTATATATAAATATAAAATGTTTTAAAGCAGTTTCTCAACCTGTGGGTCGTGAGCCCTTTGAAAATCTAGTCTAGTCAGTGCTGATTCCTACCCATACCAATTTTGAAATCTTTATGGGAACAGATGGTCAGCCTCATCTTTCTACTGTGGAAAAGCTGTGGGGTTTGAACCACCAACCTTGGGGTTAGCAGTCCAACTATGCCACCCAGGGCTGCAAATGGGATCTATCCTCCTCCTTGTTTTATCTCTAACCAGTACTGAAAGACAAGCAGGCACTCAACACGATTGTTAAATTAGACTGAATATTTCACAGAGCCTAAACATCAAACACAATTGGACTTGACTACATTTTCAGACACTTACATTTCTACATTGTTAAAAATCCAGAATTTAATCTTTGGATTTTTATCATTGATCATCATTTTTTGAAGAACCAAAATGTTCTTAGTTTACAACAGGTTAAATTTCCAAACATGAGTGGTACTTAAATTTGTTTTCCTTTTCTCATAAAATTAAAATAGGAGAAAATAATAAATAATTATAGACACCTATGCGAAAAATTATAAAATTATGACATATACTTGTGTTTAATTATTATAGGAAACTTACAGATGATCTCCAAGTTATTTTGATATTGACAATAATCAAATTTATGCTTTTGACCAAAAGTTACTTGATACTGACAGTCAAATGGAAATAATAGAAAATAAAAAATTCTGAATGCTCTTAATAAGATACAATAACTTTTTAGTTATTCTCAGTTCATATGTCTACAACATTCTGAAGCTCATGGGTATTTGTTGATTTTATTAGCTAGCATGCAAACATTCAGTTACAAGGAGCTATCTGCTGTTGGACTGACGGTTTTACGTCTACTTAGAATGCTCTAGATTATGTGAAACAATACTACATTTCAATCTAATACGGGAAGCCTGTGTATCTTCTGAGACATTGCCAATAGCTATATTTTGAAATTCCTGGTTGCAATGGGCATTTGTTAGCAGTCAGACACTTAACTGCCCATCAGAATAATAACCACAAAAATAACCACTTTATCACTTTAGTAATAAAGTTCACCTAACTCTGACTCCTGAAATCGAGGAAGGTGAATTTCTAGTTAATAGTGACTCCCAGAAAATAGAAAGTATTTACTAACCTCCAAATTAATTGAGACTTAAAAGTCTTCGATTATTATTAAGTACACTTACCATAATTTATCAAATTGAAAGAAAGTGGGAGGAAATCCCTTTAAAAGAAAATGCAATCTACTAATTTTGAAACTTTCTGGGATTTCCAAATATATAGGGTTGAATGAGTTTACATTTTTAAAATTCCCAATTAACATAAGCAATGCAGTCTTTAAGAATTAAATCCACCCCCTCCACCACAGTTACAGAAAACAGTTGCTTATATGTCATATTTCCACAGAGATATTGTTAGATGTCTAAAAATAGCATTGCAAAACTAAGAGTATTGTAGTCTTTATTGTAATTGGAAAGAAACTGTGAGATAAACAACTTCTCTACTGCTCAGAAGAAACCTATATATAGGTGGGATTTCCCATGATTCAGAGTGTGAATACTCTTACAGTTCCCCAGCCATTTTAATTGAAAGAAGAGCGTTTTAAAGAAAAAGGATGTAAATTCTACTTCTGAACCAAATCAGCAATGAGCTGATTTTTCTCTGAAAGACTCATAAATGACTATTTCCCAAAGATTAAATATTGTAAATTGGCCGTCTAGTTTGAAATGTAAAGCAAGAAGTGGATAGAACACACGTCCTTGGTACATATAAAGCATTATTTTTACATCATCACTAGCGTGGAAGTTCAACATAAGCAGCAAATCTTGATAAACGGAGTCAGGAGATAGCAAATAAGCAAATACTACCAAGATTTTTTTTAACGTTTGTACAGTATAGGCAGAAAGTGGCAATGTTTTTACAGATAGTTCATAAAATCATGCAGTAATGTTATGTGCTTTCCAACACTGGGTTCTTTAGAATCGGCTTAAAATTGCCGTGTTTGTAATCAGTGTTATGAATCTGCACTTCTTTTAGCGATATTTCTGAGACTCCGGAATTCCCTTAAGCACGCTGTATGGGAGGGTCTCAGAAGTAGGTTCCTTTTCGCAACTTGTGCTAGTAGGTGCTGAACTTGTATTTATGGAAACCTCTGCTCCGGCATGCGTTTGGGTTTACCCAGGACCAGCTAAAGGAAACACTTTTCAACGATTTGTGCACTCACATGCGGGTGTAACGCACGCATTTGTCCAGAAAGCTCTTTATCCTGAGCAATGTCGTATACACGTGGGGGACGCCCTGGATTTTACTGATTAAGGATTCCCGTTTGCATAAAGGAGGCCCCCGAGGACCACCGCGATCCGGCGCGGGCAAAGAAAGTAAATCACGAGCGAGCACGTGGCGTACCTGCGGACCCCGCGGACGAGCACGGGCCACATGGAAGCCCAGGAAGCGCGTGCTCCCAGGACCGTGCGCGGCGCGCCG